CGTATCGTGTATCCTGTAATGAATAACGATGCGGGTACTGTATAATGCTTGTAGCATCAGGGTTCATCATGGTCCGTTTAACGTGGCGGAGCAGTTAAATTCCTTAGCACCAGAGTTAAAAGAATCAGTACCTAGTTCCGCCACAGTTATGTACAATATTAGCATCAAAGTAAGATCGTCGTCATCAATTAGATAAATATATAAATTTATTAATCAAATTATAATGCGAATTTTGTACCGATTTTTAGTTTCTAATGCTAAACTGTCAATTCAATTTAATTAATTACAGTCTAGACCTCGCTGGACATACATGTATAAATGAAAAGAGACACTTCAAGATAATTACAATGAAATTTTTAATACCAATAACTTCATACTTTAATGGTTTTACAGATGAGATCGTCCGTAAAAATTGCATTGGTACTGCTAGTAAATCATAGTACGTGTACTGTAATCATGATTTTTTTTAATGTTGAAAAATCAACAATACGAGCTGACACACTTCAATATAATTTTTGACTCTATTTTTTTATTGGCAGGGAAAAATTTAAATTTTAAAGTTACTTACAAGTTTTAAAATTTTGATTTTTACCTTAAATGTTTAAAATTAAAATTTCCAAATACGATTTTTATATTTTAAACTTTTGCGTTTTTAATCTACCGTTTGTTCAGAAAATTTACGCTTAACAATCCAAAATTCAGTTACATATTTTGTCTTTTCATTATTTAAATTTCTAAATTTCAACTTTGAAACGTTTCAATTTTTCAGAAATTCAGATTTTTGATTCGAACACTCAAATTTCAAATATTCAACACCTTTTTTTTTTACATTTTGCGTTTTATTATGATACGATTTGCCAATATCTTAATGCAATTCAATTGTTTTTAAATAGAGACTTGACACTTGTCTTCACAGTCTAATCTTAAACACCGGTTACAATGGAAACAGTTAAGGTAATTGGATATTACACGTACATGTAATTATTTAAATTGAGTAAAACATTTTATTAGTGTCCAAGGACTAAACAAAGTTTTGAGTCAATCCAAAAAAAGGAAAACTTTTGAAAGTAATCCCTATGTATTTATCTTATTTTTAATTTGAGAAAGACTAAGAGCAGTTTGGAACAAAATATCTGCGAAAAAATATTTCAAATAAATTATTGTGCTCTGCGGTGCATTTCACCTTGATTGCTTCATAAAACTTCTTGTAGGCATGCTTAGTTTACATGTATATATTTTATTTTGATGACAGCATAAAAACTTACGACTTTTCAACTTTATATACAACCATTCCCCCACGATAAAAGTCCAGGATTTTTTATATCATTGACAGCTGCTTTTTCAATAAAAATGGCAAATTTATTTGTTGGACCACATTCTGACTGCACACACTTGTACTCTGAAGTTGACATCAAAACCCACACCAGTGAGACCTCTAGCATTTACTTTCAACTGTTAGGAGAGTGGTTGTCGGGATAGCAGTTGTGAAAAAAATATGGCAATCGTTGCATTTTACGAGTAGTGTTCAGCTTTTAAAATACCGGCTAGCTCCGAAAGGACAAAATTTTTACTGCAAAAATATTATGATACAGAACATAAACTGTATTAAACAGCTTGTAAGTTTCATTAGAATGTTGCGCATGATGCGTAAAAAAAACACGACCTAGTCTGCCGTAAATATACAGAATGAATTGAGCTTGGTGATGTGCAAGAAATAAAGCAATGTTCTTATAATTATTAAACCCAAAATGTTGATTTTTTTATATTAGAATGTTGCTTTTACTTTTTAGACTCTTCTTGTTATTTTGGTGGTGTATGTTGCACATCTACATGCTACGTCCACGACAAAGGGATCGAACAATACTCGTAAGTCTTCAAAATCTTTTGAAAAAGAAAAAAAAGAAAGAGATTTTAAGCATCGTAGGAATAAAAAAAAAATATCGCCTGGGAAATTGCTTCGTGATCGGGAGGCCCGGGTTCGATTCTCGTTCCCTGCGCCGCGTCAAACCTAAGAAGTAACTAGTTCTAATTGTAACGGGAACCGTTACAGATGTTCCCCAAACGCTCCCCAACTCCTTTTTGGTGCCACATTCCCTGTAAGCTTCATTAAATAAGACAACCTCTGTGCATTTTTGACTTTAACAACGTTTTCCAAGAAGGATACCAATTATATTCAAATTTTTGCATTGCACCCGTGCGCATGTGAATGCATGTGCGATATGATCATATCATCTTGTCTACACTATCTACATATTTTAATATACAATGTATTAAAGCATTCAGTCCAAAAGTATGAAACATCACTCTTTCAAGTGTATTTTTCATTTAACTCGTTCCAAATGCACGCACGTGCGTGCACGTGCATGATGACTATACCTTCCTGTAGGAGTCCCTTATATCTATCTATATTCTAAATCCCATCCTGTTTGGTTGAAAAACAAGGGATTTATAGCCATTTCAAGTTTAAGCCAATCAGATTGCAGCACACCTTCATGCGCGTGATTTGATGATTTTTTTCTATCTCATTTTGTAGGATATCCTAATGCATGACTATGTTTTTAATTTCAAGGCATTTCGTCAAAAAACAAAGGAGATATAGCCATTTAAAGTTTCAGCCAGTCAGATTGCAGCACGCGGGCACGCGCATGCTCTCATGAAAATTCTTATATACCATGCTGTAGAACTTCATAATGTAGGTCTATGTTCAAAATTTCAAAGGATTATGATAAGAAACAAGAAAGATATTGAGACTTTAGTTTCAGCCAATCAGAGCGAAGCGCATGTGCATGCGCGTGAGATCTTACTTTTTTGACCATGTCATTTTGTCTATGCCTCTAATATATACTTATAATATGAGTTTCAAAGCATTTCATCAATAATTTAAATAGTTACATGTACGTCTGTATCAATTATATTGGACATTTCTTGTGTTGCACGTGCGAGCTCTTGCAAGCACATGTGCATGCACATGCTTTCATGATAAATCTTATATTTCAGGCTGTAGATCTCCTATTGTACGACTATGTTCAAAATTTCAAATGATTTTATCAAAAAACAAAAAAGATATTAAGACTTTAGTTTCAGCCAATCAGAGCGAAGCGCACGTGCATGCGCGTGCAATCTTGCTATTTTGACCATGTCATCTTGTATACTACTAATATATCCTTACATTATAAGTTTCAAAACCTTTCCTCACAAAATAGAAAACATACGGTTATATCCATTATTTTTTGGTCATTTTAAGTTTTGCACGCGCGTGCTCTTGCAAGCACGTGCGCGCAAAATGAACTTGATTCCGCAAATCTACATAACATGCCTACTTACCCTAAAAATGTTTCACCTAAGTCGGATGTGTAGTTTACAAGATCACTCGTGGACAAAATTTTCCCAGGAAGAAGAAAAATAATAATAAGAATAATAATAATAAGAAACAGAGTAAAAACAATATGTTCCCCAACTTCGTTTGGGGAACATAAAAATAGGTAGTGACTGTTCCTTCGCCAAGCGCTCGGCATCAGAAGTGAAAGTCACGGGTCTTTCGGATATGACCTTAAAAACGTAGGTCCCGTGTCACGGTAGGCGCTGGCATGATAAAGAACCCTCACTGCTCAATGGCCCTGAGTGTAGAGTATAGGTCTAAATTCGAAGCCCTTCACCTGCATACGGTGACGTCTCCATATGAGTGAAAAATTCTCGAGAGGGACGTTAAACAATATACAATAAATCGCCTGGGATATTCACATTTAATATTTTATTTTAAACTGACTGTTTTGTCTTCTTCATCTGTGAGTCGACTACATATAGCAAATGGGTTCTAAGAGCGATTACTCTTGAGTCGCGAGTTTAAAAACCCAATTTTGGACGTTGGATCTTTCGTATGAGGCTATATTTAAGGTCTTCCGTCTTCAGCGGAAGACCTTCTTGTTATTCTTAGGTTTCTTTTCCACTATCTTTATTATTTTTATTGTTTTTTTTCTTACCGATTTTGTGTACACGATTTCTCGGAAACGGCTCGCTTGATTTTCATGAAACTTTCAGGACTGATAGAACATCAAACAAACCTGATATATAATTTTTTGTTTTGATGACGTCACTTCCGGTTTTGAGATTTTTGCGATTTAGTGATTTTAAGAGGGTCAGTTTGTCCGCGAGTTTTCTCAGAAACGGCTTAGGATAGAAACTTGAGTTTTTCAGCAATGATAGAGCAATATATGTAGATGTGACATACGTATTTCATTTTCACCGGAAGTGCTGCACGCCGACGCTCGCTATGGTCCGAAAAAGGGCATGTCGAGAATTTTAAAATTTCTAACACTTTTTCTTCGATATCTTTTTACCTACAAATATTTTGTTAAGACATATAGAACAAAAGTTGTAGAAAATGTGACGATCTTTCAAAGGATATTAACGATAAGGGGCTGGCCCCTATAATATAGGGCGGAAAGGGGCTAAAAGCTTTTCCTTAATATCTCAAAAAGTATTGAGAATTTGTAATATGTCAAAGAAGCAAAGTTGTTTAAAATATCAAGCTTTATCTAATGGCGTCGTCAAAATAAGTCCGGCGACGTCACTTCCGGTCAAACCGGAAGTAGTAAAAAATTGCATATTTTTGCCTTTCTTTAAAGGTTTTGGGGTTACATATGTCACTGGATGCTTAAATCTTAATTTTCCGTCCGTCGACGTCACTTCCGGTCAAACCGGAAGTAGCCAAAACTAGTTTATTTTGAAGGTTTTGATGAAAAATTGGAAATATGAAGTTGCTGGAGATTACTAAGCTCATTGCTTTCTTATGTTGACGTCACTTTCGGTCAAAACCGGACGGAAGACCTACTCGTTGCTTTGCAACGAGCTTTGCTCTAGTTATATATATTTTTGGTATGTTTATTAGCAAAAAATTATACTTAGATGACAAGTATATTGTTTCAGGCGTTGACTGCACTCCTAACCCATGTCAAAATGGTGGAAAGTTTACATTCAAAATGCCAAATGAAAAATGGTGCACCCAAAGTGAACCTATATTTTCATGTACCTGTCCCGAGGGGTATTCAGGGATAGTATGTCAGTGTAAGGCATTTTATGTTGTTTTTTTTTTTAAATATTACAAGACATTTTCTACTCATTGCAAATAATTATTTTAATCTATAAAATTAATTTCAAACTATCTGAAGAACCATTTAAAAACAGAAATCATTCACAAATAAAATGATTATTTGAGTCTTGTGCATCTCGTTTTTTTTCCATTGGATATTAAATTAAATAGCTATGCATTGTAAACTGTGAATCTCTTAGATTTAAATATTTTTTTCCCTAAGTCCATGTCTGTGACAGTCATGCTTGTCAGAATGGAAATTGTGAGGCAGATACGTCCAGTACACGAGGTTACAAATGCAAATGTAATGAAGGTTATACTGGGGAGAATTGTGAAGTTGAAGGTAAAGTGAATATCTAAGAAATAGGTATCATTTGTTGAGTTTTATTGGGATGTAAAACGGGTAGCCCGAAGCCCGAAGGGCTTTATGGAAGATTTGATCATGTGCCAACCCGTTTTACATCCCAATAAAACTCAACAAATGATACCTTATCACTTTTATTTACATTTGTGACTTATTGATACTTTAAATTTGCCTGATTGTGACTTTTAACGTATGAAATACATTATATTTCAAACCCAACGGCATGTATGTAATCCACTGAACGCGCGTCGACTTTTTATGACGTCACTGAGAAATTACGTCGAACGTTTATCCATCCGCACATCTATGACCTCTTGACCCCGTACCTGTTTATATACAGTTATAAAAACGCTTGCTTTCAGTAGTGTTATAGAAAGGAAAACATTTGCAAATGTAAATATTATAATTTGAAACAAAGCAGAAATATATGACAAGCCCTTTTACTATTCATTCGGAAAATAAAATTTATTTTAGAATTATATATCTCTCATTTTAAAGAGATCTCCCACCTTAAAGAGATATTTCTCATTTTTAAGAGATATCTCCATGAGAAGGAGATATCTCTTAAACTTAGAGAGATATCACTTTTTATAAGAGAGATCTCTTCCACTTGAGCAGATATCTCATTCTCCTTGAGAGATATCTCTTTCGTGAAAAGAGATATCTCTGAACGATAAAGAGATATCCTTTTCGCCTAGAAATATATGAATCTCTTTTACTTTTGGAGATATCTTTCCGAGTTAAAGAGATATCTCTTAAAGTAAAAGATATCTCTCTCTTAGTTTGTCTAAAGAGATATCTTTCAAAAGTGTCTATAAGAGATCTCTCAAGCAAATATAGATATCTCTTTATTGCAAAGAGATACCTCTCTTCATTATTTTTATGTAAATTCCATTTGAAATGACTTTTCCTTTTACCGGAAGTAAAATTTTTATTCACGGAATTACATTAAAGTGTTTTTAAATTTCGACATATTTGTGATATTCAACATTATAGCGTTACTAAGCATGACAAGTGATTCAATGTTGTCTAGATTTCGAATTAGTAATATTTCATAATTTCATAAGCTGAGAATAATTCGGTCCATTGCTTTAAGAGATATCGCACTCGTTTAAAGAGATATCTCTCTAGCTTATAAAGATTTCTCTCCAATTAAAAGAGATATCTTCTTACAAAAAGAGATATCTCTTTTTTTTAAAGAGATATCTCTCTAAGGTATAAAGATATCTCCATCAGTCAAAGCGATATCTCTATAAGCTAAAGAGTTATCTTTCTATGCTAGAGAGATATCTCTCTTATTTAAAGGGAAAAAAAATATTTCACGAATAAAAAGTAAAAGGGATTACCATAGAAATCGCCCACGTGCGACAGTTGCTAGAGCGGTTGTTCTAGAGGCGCAGAGGACGACGTTGATCCTAACCTCGCGGGTTGGAATCTCATTGTGGGACGTGTAGTCCTGTCCTAAGGATAAGACCATAAGAAACTGATGTCCCGTGTCGCAGTAACCACTGGCACGAAAAAGATCCCTCGCTGCTCAATGGCCATGATTGCCAAGCATATGAGTGAATTTTCTTAGAGGGACGTTAATGAAAAATAAAAGTAGCAAGTACGAAATCCCACTGTAAGAGGTGTAGACCGATTCTTCCGAATGCATAAATTGAGGTTTCGTGTCGCAGAAGACGTTGGCACAAAAAATCCTGCATTGCTCGAAGTTGATGTTGGCATCTCAATGAACATTTAAAAATATCTCAAACGAAAGGTCAACAGTCAAAGATGCAGTTTTTCTAGAAAATATTATAGATATATTGGAAGTTTTTGTAACTAGTTTAAATTGTTTCTATGAATAAATTATATCCCTACTCCAGAAAATCCACAAGGTCTGACAAAAATTTGAGGTCTGTGTTTGCTCTGCTCTCAATCTGTATTGTTTAAATGAACCTTTGAGCTTGATTCCTGTTAAATATATTACTTTTTCATTTTACATTTTCTTGGACACAATTAAGCACTAAACAATTTGAAGCTTGGGGGACATTTATATACTCGAATGACTATTTACAAAAAGAAAAAAAATCCTTAAACATCCTTAAACAATCTTGTGTAAGAATTCTTCCTCCATTTATTCACTAAATCCTAAGCCTGTTCAGTGCAATTTTAATAAATGTGAATCTTGCAAACTCAACTTGAATTAAAATATGTCCTTGTTCATACTGAAAGGACAAGTTATAACTTGTCATACCAACAAATGTTATTTCGAAGAATGGGCGTTTAATGAATCCTTTTGGGATTTTTTTCATATTAATTTAACAGTATTAAATAATAGTAAAAAGAGGAACTCAATCGAATAGTTTGCTATAAATTAAAAAAAATAATAAAGAGCTATCCAGTTATTTTACCCCTTTTCTTTTATAGCCTGCAAAAGCGGATGGATACCATTTGATGGTCACTGCTACTTAGATGTCAAGACAAAGACGACTTGGGACAATGCCAAGGTACACTAATTTATTCTTTCGCTTTCTGTATCATAAGCCGCAATGTAACATCTATTAAGCCTGTAATATTAGGCTAGTCACCTGACAAAATTAACTTGCAGAGTATTCTTCCTCTGCGTGAATACAAAAATATTGCAGCTGTATATACATACACCCTATACATATACCCTCTGAGGGAACATGATCAGCAATGGATTTTCGATCACTTATTCCTAGCTAACTGATGTCTGGTTGATAGTTATTTCTAGATCACTGTTACTGTTCAAAAAAATTAACTTTAATATACTGTAAAAAAAAATAATAATAAAACTCGCCAAAATATTATACACCTGAATAAGTTAAATGATGATCTCGAACGAGTCTGACAAAAAAAGCTGTCAAATTTGTTCACGCGGGTTAGTTAAGGCAGCACATGGATCAGAATTCGACGAATTAACACTTTTTTATAATTATGTAACACTAATACTTCGGAAAAGTCAAGGATGAAACTTTTGCTATAAATATTCTTTCTATAGACTTCAATGGGACATATACTACAGGTAGCACTTAACCACGACGTCACCACGTGACGTCTATAATTAGAAAAAATGCCTTAATGAAAAAGTGAAAAGTTCAACACTACCCCGGGGATAATTAATTTCAATTTTTAATAACTGTTATGTAAAAACATCTCCGTACCACAAAAAGTGCTGCTAGAGTCCTACTGTCCTATCACAAAAATAATTATTCAACACTTTAGGACGAAACCTTCCCAAAATTTTTACATTTTGTTCATAAC